TATGCACAGAGCCGCAGAAAATAGGATACATGACCTCTCACCTGGCTCAAAGAACACCATGACACCAAGACGGTCCATTCATGCATCTGCTGGCCAGCGTAAGGAAACAGTAGACGATGTCAATTGGTCTAGCTACTTTGCACGCGGAATTTTTGCACCTGTGCGTAGCGAAGTACTCTTCTCTGTGAGAGAGTCGCTGCCTCACAGACATTGAAAGTCTGCATCGTCTTGCAGTTATATGACACTGGGCCAGACCTGGATCCGATCGAGCTGGGCATCATCACTGTGGATCTCGGTCAAGCTCTTGTGACCCACTTCTGTGAGTGGCTTCAAAGGAGACTCTGGATTCGCTCGATGGTGCCTATGCCGACTAGCCAGGAAGACCCTAGCAACGCGTCGCTGATACTCTTTGTACTCTGCTGCTGGCTTAGACTCAGCACACAGCTCATTCGTGCACGTCTTCGACCCACTACTAAGCACGCTCAAGTACATGCGCCGACGAAGTTGTTTCTTGCTCACGGTCATCTGCCAGATCTCTGCCATCACATACGGTGATGATTCCGGCCAGCGACTCGATGGCCAAGGAGGTGTGCTACAGCGGCTTGCCGAACACAGGGAGTATCTGACGCCTATCATCTTGTGTGGCGGATATCGAAGCGTCGAAGCTGCTCAGGCGTGCATTGTGCTGTGAGTCAATCGAAAGCGTGAGAAGGAAGGCACCTTTGACGGAAATCTTCTGCGGCATTTAGCGCCCAGTACGCTCCTCTAGCAAGTTCGGCCACCGAAGACCAGACGTGGAGCTTGATGGGTACAGCGCGTGAGTGAAAGGTTCCAAGATGCTGTGCCGCCTTGCATGGCAGAGCAGCTGACCTTGCTGCCCTCTTGGCATCTCAGTACGCATGACCACTGAGGTGGGGTGAGAATTCTTGCGGAGCCCGTACCTTCATGTTCCGTAGTAGGGCATGACCTGACAGCGCAGCATCCCGCCTCGCAGATGCAATCTCAAGCTCTTTTCGTATCTGCCTGTGCCTCTTCGTCTACGACAGGAGTCCGGCGCTCGAGCAGAGAAGCATCAGCGACAGCTGCGCAACACCGAACGCTTATGGTTTACGCTTTGGCTCTTCGCGAGTCATGTTTCTTCGCAGACTGGTCAGAAACTCATGCTGTCTGATGAAGGCAGCGTCGCGGCGTCCGGTACATGGCACACAAGAGATTTTGCTCTACCACAGGACGAATGGCTGATTGCCCAGGTCGAGCTGCGCAGGATTGTGGTAAGTGTATTTGGTGTTCCGCTGGTCGGTCGTGGTAGGCTGCTGAGCCAAGAGAGTCGTCTGCGCATTTTACTGCAGGCGAGGGCTACCGAGCGCTTCCATTCACAGATGAAACATCTCATCGCTGAAGCGTCTTCCACGATGTGCCTCGATTCTTCGCCTGCTCTCGACTATCAGGCGGAAGCTTTCCGCAGTTCAATTCTTCAAGACTTGAGCAGGTGGGACTCGGCTTGGCTCGGCACTCCCGAAGCGGTCCCATCGCAAGAGTCACAGTCTCGACCTTTGCTCGATCTCGGTCATCTAGCACTAGCTCATGCAAAGCTGGTCACGTTGTCTCTGCCTCTTCTTACATGGCCTGCGTCTCCAAGAGCCTCTACGGCAGCCGGCCCAAAGACTTTGCGTCTGCCACGAGCTCTCTTGCCTCACTATAGAGATGCTTGTGAAGCAGCTCAGACGTTCCTCAGCTTGCTTGTGAGCAGATGGTCAAGTCTGAAGAGGAAAGACAACGTGATGCTGGTAGATGCGCTCCATGCTTCCGTCTTGGCGATGCGTTTCGCCAGTCTCGCGCCATGCGATGAGCAGCCCTACGTTACACAGCGTGATCAGGAACGCGTCGCTGATATGGTCCAAGAGATGTGTCACCGGCTGCAGGCAGAGGAACGACGGGTAGGCAGGAGGTATGCCAACCTTTTGCAGAGTGTCCTCAACACCTGGAAACGCACGATCTGCTCGGTCTTATCAGAAGATTTGGCTCCCCACATGGAGGTAGCTCCTGGCCAAACCCCTAGACACCTAGAAGCCATGTCGAGCGCTTCAGGATCTAGAATCGACACTCTCTACTCTGGTCTCGCGGCTGCAGGGCCACAGCCCTCGTCATCGAGCGGCCAGAGCACCACCTACAATTTCGATGGAAATCCGGACGCCTCTGCTCTCGAGAACGGCGCTTCGCTCTTCGATGCTCAATCCATCTGGTCCATACTCTTCCCCGAAGCGGTAGAAGGCTCAAACGTGGATCCCCTTCGGCTATCCCTCGCCGATGCAAACGCTTCTCTGGCCGACATGAGCAGAAATGTGCCTTGAATACGGCAGTAGCTGGGTTGCGCCGGCGGTGTAGGAAAACATCTTGAGGCACACATTTCTGTGTCAAGCCTGCGATTGCGCCAAGCGAGACCAGTGTCTTCTTCCCCGTAGACGCCTTGTGTCTTCTAACAAAAAGCAAAGGATGTAAATTGCCGGTCAGATCAGAGCAGGTATTGCAAGCCTACATTTGCTA